CGAAAAAGAACAAACAAAGGAAAACCAAACGGGGTACAGATGATCGACCCCGATCGAAATGGACAAACGAACAAGGCATTCCCTGGAAAAGACAACCGAAGGAGATGAAGAAAACGAGAACAAGAGGGAAGATAGGCAGGTTCCCTCTAACGCTCCAGTCCAGAAGAAACAACAACGAATAGTACAGGAAACTACTGACGCGACACCACACAGACAGATGACGTACTTTAGAGGACTATACAGCACTTCGGGGTCGCTCCAGTTATCACGATAACCAATTTCACCCCCCCCGTCATCCTGTACACATTTCCCGGCGAACAACCCAAACAAAACAACGAGTTGAAATTGGGTATCCGATTTCTTGTCGTTGGTTGTATGTGGTGAACTCGCCTTGGGCCCACCACTTCCGAGAGAATACCACGTCATCCGACACCTCCTCCAAATCTGAAGCTCCCCCTTTGTGATACGTGGACAATTCAGCCGTCGAAATTGGCATCTTCGGACCGGAGGTTCGAGATTAGGAGAGTCTCGTTCCTGACTAGGATCGCATGGCTCAGGAAGAGTTCGTGTAGCACTCGGGGCATCTGTTTGACGGAGTGCCCGAAGCCTGGATGGGGGTGAGAAAAAATGGAAGTAAACGCTTTAAACAACCAAGATGGCGAAGGACTGACTCGTATACGCTAGGGCTGGCGAAGGTACAAGACAACTAACTTTGTTATTCCACCACCTCGCAATGTTAAAAGTGATCCACTCACAGGAACCATATGGTACCCTCCAGACAACCTAAAGTACTGGACTCTATCGGGTAAGAAGCACTCCGTTTAAAACGCAGTTTTGTTTCGGTACCAAAGCCTAGAAATATCGCGTAGAAACAAGGTGAACGTCATTTGACACAACCCTCTCCCAGGATTATGGTCGTGATATGCCCTTCGCGACATGTGCGGGAAGTTGGACTTTCCATTTCGTACATTGACGGCGCGTCCCCTGTCTCGGAGGAGGAGTATGCTTTTTCAAAGCTACACATCAAGCACTCTACTCTGTGGCCGGTCGCCCCGGTGGTGTTGTGGATAAAGAATACCCTCCACACGCACCGCAGGAGGAAGGTGGGGGGCGTACATGAAAACGAATCAAGAAGAAAGTTTTGGGGTCGACCCCTTCCTCTGTGACCCTAAATGCTTGTAGTTGTCCGAAGAAATACACTGATAAGCGCAGAACTCTTCATACACTTAGAGATAGATGCGGCTTTCCGCGCACGTTGGGTCGCAGACGGCAAATGCCCCCTCAGCAAACTGTTGTTTGCCTCGTCCCTCTTTCCTCACTAGTTTCGTCTCTATGCAACCTCATGTTCAAAACCTACCGATAGACGACTGGGCTTTTTTTTTTGTCGGTGTCGACTGGCACAAAAACATGCATGTAATGGCTTGGCATCGCCTAAGAGGAGTGATATCGCGAAGTAGTGGCGGCTATGCGATACGCCGAACATCGACGTGTTTCCCGGCGGTCGTGTGGTATGTATTGGCTTACACGATGATGCATGCATACATAGTCGATAGTGTGCCTGACGAGGTGTCTAGGAAGAGGGTGAGGCAGGCTGTCCTGGCCCAGGAAGGCGTTGATGTAGGCAGTACCACGGTGTGATGTGGTAACATCGAGTGTTTCGCCGATGACACCCGACTACCGACGATGTACCTGTCCGCGCAGTGCTGGCATGTGTGAAGTTCTACCCGTATTGTATGGCCTCGGGTGGATCAGACGTAAATCACACTCCGGTTACGTAGAACGCTCTACTACGTAGTTGGATATCGGTCGCCTCTGTAGAGTCAAAACTCTGTGGCTACTGATTCACCGCATGCGAGGGCAACGTTCCAACAGAAATCTAACAACGGTGTACTCGAATTGCCCGCCCGGGATGTTGCGAAGGAGGCTAAGCTGCTGAAGAGGAAGAAGGCGGAGGCGAAGAGCTCAGCGGTTGCGGCCCGGGAGGTGAGTCTTTGGTGGTAGTACCCTAGACTCTATGTCGGGTCATGCCGACATAACATTTCCGATCACGTCCGCTGAACGCCACGAGTCCAACCTGAATTTTGGGAACGTACTGCGAACGGGAAAACTCGCTGAACACTCTTTCTGAACATCAATAGCGTAGCGCCAAGAGGTCTGGCTATACTTGCGTGAGTCTGCCAATTGCCGCACCCTAGCCTACCGCACCTGAGAAAATCCACAAATCAAGCTGTAGGCCGCTGGTCGCCGTCCCCCTCTGCTCGTCTTGCGCAATATCAATTCCAGGAGGGAGGCACCCCCCTGCGTGCCCCCTTCAAAAGCCCAGGAGCCGCCGAATGTAGGGAATCCACGGTAGACCATCGTGCATGTACACCCGCCTTACCTTCGCTGCTTTTGGTCATTTTCACGACGCCGACAATCCATACGAACAATTTACGTGATGATGTTCCTTGATACTCGTCATGGTATCGGTATCAGGCCCCCAACTGCGGCCCTTCGCAACAACGACAAGAACGTCAAGGTAGTGGTTGCGAGTTGTTGGTTTCGCCTTGGTCCTTCCTTTACGCTTCAAAGGGCGCATCCGAATGATGCTGCCGGCCGAGAAATAAATGACCGAAGCGCAAACCCAAGTATCAGAAGCTGCCAATATGTTCCCTCTCTGTATCCTCGACACTTCCTCGCGTGTCGTTACTCGTCTTCGTCTTGCAGGTGCCCCCCGGCACGAAGAAGCCAGCCGCAACCCTCGACCCATCTGGGGCGAAGAGGAAGAAAACTTTGAACAAGGTATTGGGGGAGATGTGTCGTATTCGCCTTGACATTGATCTCTCTTCGGTGCTTCCGTTCTCGCGTCCGAATCATGCCCTAGGTCGGGAACTTAAAAACCGCAGCACGTCCCCAACACGAAGATACATTGTTCATGCCGTTTTCATCAGTATAATTTACCTTGCCGCTCGTTGTTGCTCGTGTTCGTCTCGCAGGCGGCCCCCGGCACGAAGAAACCAGCCGAGAGGGCTGCCCCCGCCGCGGCGAACCTGGGCCCAAGCATGAACGATCAGGTAACTCCCCGAGATTGTCGTGTTAGAGTCGTTGCTCCGGTTTAAGAAGGTGACGTGACCAAGGCCCTCCATCTTCATATATCGGACCTCCTGTCATATCGGTTGTAAGACGGTACCGTCAGATGTCGTGGCAATCTGTCGTAGGGTAACCTCTTACACAGTGGAGATCGGGAATAACGACAGACACGGTATCCTTGACTACGGCCCAGCAATCCACATGCAACGTGCTATATCTATGGAAGGACGCGTGGTGGACTGAATAGCGTGGGGTGAGCCACTTGCCCGATACGGCGTGCCCAGAGCAACTTAGGTGTAGTGGTCGCCAGGGTGACGCCTTTATCTTTCATGTTCTGTTTTATGTTATGGGGCGTCAACGCAGATGAAAAATGCCTCGCAGCCAAGCTGACACGGCGATTGATGCTTGGCGGCGAAGTACATTCATGCGGTCCATGCTTTTGGAACACATGCCGAGAAATACAACACGATAATACAAGGACCCGACCACCTCTCCGACCAGGAGCTACCTAACGGTTGTATTGCCCACCACGAACAGTGTACTTTGGCCTGCCGCAAACCATACGAAGCCTGCGACTTCTACTGATGCGGTGCGATACTGTTGAAAGCACACGCATTGCCTGCATTATGAGTACTCCCCACGTCTTCCTGCAGATTCTCCTGGTGTGGTTTTTAATATTCCCTCCCTAATAGCATCGGCACCGCTGGCCACAGAGAGTGCGAAGGCACACGTGAATGCACATGCACGTGTTCGTTCCTCAGGTATTTCATATCCTTGCATCCTCCTCGCACATACCACCATTTCCAACTATATTCCACTACTTTTTTTGGACACCTCCGTCTATATTAGAGTCTCTTCCTGAGTGCGCCTACGTTATTTGGTCGAGTCCGCGACAACCAATCTCGACCATCCATGTCGGAGCCTCCTCGTCAAAGGCATCATCTTCATACTGAGCCACGACTGCCATAGGCTGATTTAACGCATTCCGCTTTGAAACCACGCCCGAATTGCGTCAACACGCGTGTCGTCCACGACATAAGATACGCACAAGTTCACATCCATAGGTCAGTTGGTTTTGCTTTCGGCAGGCTAGCAAGGATCCTGTGTTGGTGAGCCCGTCCAACAAGTCTGGACGCGAGGAAAAGAAGACGCGTGATGACACGACTTCCATAGTGAGAATATCCCATCTCATGTTTCTCACCGCACTCATGAGCCATTTCGGTGGCCCCGCCGACATGAACATCAGGGGACGAGACGGTGTGTGACAACGCACTTTTGATGTAACGCTGTTGTCCATAAGAGAGATTGTGGGGTGAACATGTTCGGCACTTTTGCCGGCTAACGGTCTTCCGTGGAGTTGTCGTATTCCGTGCACTTTGTTGTGTGGAATGAAGACGGATGGCGGTCTAAGGATGAGGTTTTCCCTAGGCAACAGAGCGAATAGCATCTAGAGGATATTGCGACAAAAACACCCAACCCACAAGCGTTCGTTTCATACACCTCTGACCGCTCGCAGGACTTGGTCCTTGAGAAGCGCAGTATGTCCGCACGACAGGGGCGTCGTCCAATCTTCCTTCCTAACGATATTCCACCCCGCATCTATTGCTGACATACTTCAAATATATGTTCGGCTCCCGCCTGACCGGTGGTTACAAACGAAATCTACTTTTGCAAGGACACAGGAAGACCTGCGAGACGTTGCACAGATATCAGACACTACCTCCATATCCGAGGACATGGTATCGGCTACGTCCTCACAGATCCTTGCCGCAACGTTACCCGCCCGGGTTCGCAGGCCAAACGCCTCACGGCTTCGGAAAAATCTTTCCTGAAGAAAGTTCTCGCCAAACAGAACGGGGTCGAGTCAAGGGACTCGGAAGAAGATGATGACGAGTCCGTCGACGACCTCAAGGACGCGCGCCCCGAGCCACATGGTAAGAAAGACGTTGTCCTTGTCGTAAAGGGCTCAATCGCTGACTCGATCCAAACTTTTCGCATCGCCGCAGATTAACAATCGAACCACAGAGCTTCCACATGTGAGATCGTCTCGGGGTGTGTATATGGGGAGAGTATCCGTCAGGCACCTATATATGACTGCATATACTTCATGCTACCGCGGACGTCATCGTTGTTTTGCAGGTGACCTCGAAAGCGACGACTCAACAGGGCGCCGGCGATGGCAAAGCTGATGAAATCGAAGACCCCTCCCTGGTCCACTTTCGGGCCTGCCTCGCTGGCGCCCTGCCCTGGAAGAAAGCCTCTTTGAAGGCGATGCGGGAGTGGCGCGAGGCACTGTATCGTGTATGAAACATCGCAATCGAGGGCGTCAGCACAGTGATCACCACGATCCAGAACGATTCGAAGGACGGGGACGGCAACGTGGTTGAGGCACTCGTGGGGAACCCCATGCCGGCATCCAACAGGTACGTGGGAGGCTCACAAGTCCATGGGCATTTATGGTTTTGTCTGCAGACTCATGCACTAGGGCACTAGGGGTAGACTTGCGAAAGTAACGACAGACGTCTCCATGTCCTCGCCCACCACTCCCCGTCCTCGTTCCTTTGTGCTTGCACTTGTACGGTTGGCTGGTTGATTAACCTCGACGTGCTACCCGTGCTACCTTGGCCTGCTTTCTTACCATGTCATCCTCGCCGGTGGCTCCTTCTGCTTGCGGCAGTGAATGTCTGCCACGACGACACCTGGTATCCCGAAACGAAGCTCCTCAAGGATGCCGTCAACATGCACCCCATCGTGGCGGACGACACGGAGAAACCCGTGGCTAGCGCCAAGCCCAAGAGCGCTGAGCGGAAGGGTGGCAAGACCAAACGTAAACGCTCCAAGTGATTGCGCGTTGCCAACGTACAGTATCGTACCCCGGGCCTATTCGTGCATTTCACCGGGGGGGTTGTGGGGGGCTTGGGCGGGGTAGCAGCCCTGGACTAGCTCGTATCCTTGCGTCGTTCTAGCGGGCGGTGGTATGGGGTTGAATCCTGGCGACAGCGAGTTTTAGTGGCGAAAAGCCAGTTTTTCTCTCGCGTTCAGTCCTTGGTCTGAAACCCCGTACATAACTGGAAATACTATTTTGCCAGGTTCCACCTATGTCGTTGCCAGGTTCCATGGAAGTTCACTTCACATCCATGACTTCCGTAGCTGAACCCAAGCGCTCCCTTCACTCCCACCGACGGCGTTTCACCCTACACTAATTGACAAATGATCCTCTTGACAGCTTCCATGGAGATCACCTCCACGTTCGTTCATCGTTTCCATAAAATGAACCCAAACATTCCCCTCACTTGCACCAATGGCGTTTCAACCTACACTTCCACCAATAGCGTTGGACCCTACACTAATTGACAAATGATCCTCTTGACAGCTTCCATGGAGATCACCTCCACGTTCGTTCATCGTTTCCATAAAATGAACCCAAACATTCCCCTCACTTGCACCAATGGCGTTTCAACCTACACTTCCACCAATAGCGTTGGACCCTACACTAATTGACAAATGATCCTCTTGACAGCTTCCATGGAGATCACCTCCGCGTTCATCGTTTCCATAAAATGAACCCAAGCATTCCCCTCACTTCCATTGAAAGCGTGGCGTTTCACCCTACACTCTTGGACAAGTAATGGATCTCGTCAGCTTCCGTGAAAGTCACCTCTTCTATATATATTTGGGGTACTCGTAGCATAGTATGACGGGTAAGATCTTCAGTACGTACGTACGGAAATTGAAGTGATGACATGCGGAGGAATCAGAGAGATTCGTTTGGTAGTTTGGGCGTGATGAGCGTGACGCGTGCTTGATGCCGTGACAGATTTACGAGCACGAGCACGCCCCCGAAGAATACAATACGTTTTCCTATACGTCCCTCGCCTACCACGGCCCGTCATGGCCCACTCCCAACACACAGAACTGAGCTACCCGAATTATTGATCACGCTAGCGTATGACACGTCGTCAACGATATTCGCGTCGAGCTTAGTTTGGAGTTACATCGCTTTGCGGCGATCAGCAGCAGTCACCAATGAGCACCCCCGACCGAAACCGAGACCGAGAGAGCGACCGTCAAGCAGTGGACGACGACGCCCGGATCAACGAGTTGGTGAACGAGAGTGTAGCAGCGAGACTGGCCGAGATTACGAGGCAACAAGACGAGCAGCAGCAGAGGACAGATCACGTCCGGAGCGGGAACGACCACGAGACACGCCACCAGCAACATGCGGGGCGACCATCGGCCGGCCCGTCCGCAGACGACATCGCCCGCACTCTCGCCAACGCCCTGACCAGCCGTCTTCAGATATCACCCGCAGACACGGGTAGAGTACCAAGTAGCGCAGCGACTCTTAGGATGACTGAGGTTAAGCGCCTAGCGCCGTGGGATGGTATGTACAGGCAAGGGGAGGATGAACAGGCAAGACTTTTGATTTTTCGATTGAACATGATTGCTATGTTTGCGCAAGAAGAAGTCAGGGAAGTGGTATTGAGTGACCACAGAATTCCAGTCGGGCTAGAAGGAGTAGACACGTGGATGACATTTTTGCTGTAGGGCAGAAGGAGAGGTGTGACAAGTTTGGCAGGGATCTCAACGAGATGGTCCCCGTGAAGAATCTTGGAGAGTTGAGATGGTACTCCGCGTGCATTTACGAGAGAGACGTAGAGAGAGGGCTGTTGGAGATTTCGCAGCAGAGGTTTGCCGAAGAGCTGGCTGCAGAGTACGTCGTTGAGTGGGGGCAGAGTGTGCCTCTGCCTGTTAGCGTAGAGCTCTCCGACTTTGACGTGAATGAAGCGAGTGGTGATGTCCCTTTTCGCGAGTTGGTAGGATCTCTGATGTGGTTGACCACTCAAACACGGCCGGACATTGCGAATGCAGTTCGAGGAGCAGCGCGGTAGCGCGTTTCCCAAGATGGTGCACTGGAAGGCAGCACTCGGTATTTAGGATACGAACGCAGGACGAGTTGGATGGGGATTACATTTGAGAGGGGCGTCGTGACAAGTATGAGCATGCAGGTGTTTGTGGGTGCCGACTATGCAAGCAAGGCGACAGACCGGAGGTCGGTGTCTGGGGGGCTAGTGATGTGTGTGTGTGGGGGGTGTGAATTGGTTTTCACGAACGCAGAAGTGCGTTACGCTTTCCACCACGGAAGCAGAGTATGTGGCAATTGCCGACGTCGTGAAGGAAGTGTTGTTCTTGAGGCAGGTGTGGCGTTTAATGTTGCAAGATGCGAGTATGCCGTGCATCCCGGTGTTCGAGGACAATCAGGGAGCGATTCAGATTGCGCACAACCCGATCACAAACTCCAACTCGAAGCACATCGATGTACGGCATCACTTTATCAGGGAGCTGATAGAGAGGACAGAGATTGCAACGACTCATGTGCCGACGTAGGTTCAGCATGCAGATTTCTTGACGAAGGCTATTAGCAAGGAGTCTTTTGCGTTGCACCGTGACTTTGTGATGAACTTGCAGTGAAGGAAGTGTTTTGGGGTCGATTCGTATTCTGTAGCGGAGAGAGGAAGAGAGAGACGAGATTGGACAAGAGAACGAGAGAGTCTGATGAAGGTGGTGAGCGTGTTGGAGTTGTGTTAAGATTTTTCTTGTTTGTTTTAAAGGAGTTTTAGTTGTGTTGGAATTCTTCTTGGTTGTTTTGAAGGAGTTTTGGTTGTGTTGAAATTTTTCTTGTGATTGACTTGGGAGGGTTCTTGCATGTTTTGGGGAGGATATTGGATTTGGATGCTTTGAGAATTTTCTTGTTTGTTTTTGAAGAGATGGTAAATGAGGAATTCGGTTTTTGCCGGAGCATGACGATGCATACGAGCAGGGGGGCTATTAGATATATTGGGGGTACTCGTTGCATAGTATGACGGGTAAGATCTTCAGTACTTACGTACGGAAATTGCAGTGATGAGATGCGGAGGAATCAGAGAGATCCGTTTGGTATTTTGAGCATGATGAGCGTGACGCGTGCTTGATGCCGTGACAGATTTACGAGCACGAGCACGCCCCCGAAGAATACAATACGTTTTCCTACACGTCCCTCGCCTACCACGGCCCGTCATGGCCCAGCTGCTCTACATTCCCCACACACAGAACCATCCGAATTATCGATCAGCCTCCACTTCCATGACTTCAGTAGCATCAATCCAATTGCTCCCGTCCCTTCCACAAATGATATTGCCCCCTAAACTATTGGACAAGTAATGGATCTCGTCAGCTTTCATGGAAGTCAACGATACTTCCATGACTTCCGTAGCAGCTACCCAGAAGATTCCCTTACTACCAACAATGGTATTGCACCCTACACTGTTGAACGAATGATCCATTTCGTCAGCATCCATGGAAGTCAACGTCACTGCCATGACTTCCGTAGCATGAACCCAAGCGCTCCCCTCACTTCCACCAATGGCGTTTTATGCTACACTCTTGGACGAATGATCCTCTTGACAGCTTCCATGGAAGTTACCCCCACTTTCATCATTTCCGTAGACTGAACCCAGGCGCTCCCCTCGCTTCAAACAATGGCTTTGTACCCCACACTATTGTACAAATGATACAAATCGTCAGCTTCCATGGAAGTCACCTCCTTTTCCATGATTTCCGTAGCATGAACCCAAGCTCTTCCCTCACTTCCACGAATGGCGTTTCACCCTACACTATTGGACAAATAAATGATGCATCTCGTCAGCTCCCATGGAAGTCACTCCACTTCCATAACTTCCGTAGAATGGACCCAAGCGCTCCCCTCACTTCCACCAATGGTGTTTCACCCTACAATGTCGCACGGAAGATGCGTCTGGTCAGCATCCATGGAAGTCACCTACACTTTCTTGATTCCCGTAGCATGAACCCGGGCGCTCCCCTTACTTCCACCAATAATGGCGTTTTAACCTACACTCTTGGAAAAATGATCCTCTTGATAGCGTCCATGGAAGCCACCTCCGCTTTCATGATTTCCGTAGACTGAACCCAGGCACTCCCCTCACTTCCACCGATGGCATTTTACCCCACACTATCGGACGAATGATGAAAATTGTCAACTTCCATGGAAGTCACCTCCACTTCCATGACTTCCGTAGCATGAACCCAAGCGCTCCCCTCACATCCACCAATAGCGTTTGACCCTACACTAATTGACAAATGAAGCTCTCGACAGCTTCCGTGGAGGTCACCTCCACGTTCATCGTTTCCTTGAAATGAACCCAAGCATTCCCCTCACTTGCAACAATGGCGTTTTACCCAACACCTTTGGACAAGTAATGGATCTCGTCAGCTTCCATGGAAGTCACCTCCGCTTGAATGACTTGCGTAGCAGCAACCCAAGTGCTCCCCTCACTTCCACAGATGGGATTTCACCCTACACTATTGGACAAGTGATGGATCTCGTTAGCTTCCACGGAAGTCAACGATACCTCCATGACATCGGTAGCAGCAACCCAGGCGCGTCCCTCACTTCCAACAATGGCGTTTCACCCTGCGCTCGTGGACGAGTAATGGATGTCGTCAGCTTCCATGGAAGTAAACGTGACTGCCATGACTTCCGTAGCATGAACTCAAGCGCTCCGCTCACTTCAACCAATGACGTTTTACCCTACACTCTTGGACCAATGATCCTCTTGACAGCTTCCATGGACGTCATCCCCACTTTCATGATTTCCGTAGACTGCACCCAGGCGCTTCCCTCACTTTTACCAATGGCTTTTTACCCCACACTATTGGACGAACGATAAAAATCGTCAGCATCCATGGAATCACCTCCACTTCCATGACTTCGGTAGCATGAACCCAAGCGGTCCCCTCACTTCCACCAATGGCGTTTCACCCTACACTCTCTGACAAATGATCCTCTTGATAGCTTCCATGGAAGTCACCTCGACTTTCATGATTTCCGTAGACTGAACCCCGGCGCTCCCCTCACTTCCACCAATGGCTTTTTACCCCACACTATTGGACGAATGATCAAACTTGTCAACTTCCATGGAAGTCACCTCCACTTCCATGACTTCGGTAGCATGAACCCAAGCGGTCCCCTCACTTCCACCAATAGCGTTTCACCCTACACTAGTTGTCAAATGATCCTCTAGACAGCTTCCATGGAGTTCACCTCCACGTTCGTCATCTCCATAAAATGAACCCAAGCATTCCCCTCACTTCCACCCATGGTGTTTCACCCTACACTATTGGACAAGTATTGGATCTCGTCAGCTTCCATGGAAGTCAACGATACCTCCATGACCTCGGAAGCACCAACCCAGGCGCTTCCCTACACTCTTGGACGAATGATCCATCTCGTCAGCATCCATGGAAGTCAACGTTACTGCCATGACTTCCGTAGCATAAACCCAAGTGCTCCCCTCACTTCCACCAGTGGCGTTTCACCCTACACTCTCTGACAAATGATCCTCTTGATAGCTTCCATGAAAGTCACCTCCACTTTCATGATTTGCGTAGACTGAACCCAGGCGCTCCCCTCACCTCCACCAATGGCGTTTTACCCTGCACTCTTTGACATCTGATCCTGTTGATAGCTTCCATGGAAGTCACCTCCACTTTCATGATTTGGGTAGACTAAACCCAGGCGCTCCCCTCACTCCCACCAATGGCTTTTTACCCTACACTATTGGACGAATGATGAAATTGTCAACTTCCATGGAAGTCACTTCCACTTCCATGACTTCGGTAGCAGCAATTCAAGTGCTCCCCTCACTCCCGCAAATGGCATTTCACTCTACACTATTCGACGAATGATCCATCTCGTCAGCTTCCCCGGAAGTCAACGACACTACCGTGACTTTAGTAGCAGAAACCCAAGTGCTCCCTTCACTTCCAACAAGGGCGATTCACCCTACACTAATGGACAAGTGATGCATCTCGTCAGCTTCCATGGAAGTCACCTCCACTTCCATGACTTCTGTAGCATGAACCCAAGCTCTTCCCTCACTTCCACGAATGGCGTTTCACACTACACTATTGGACATATGATGCATCTCGTCAGCTTTCATGGAAGTCACCTCCATTTCCATAACTTCCGTAGAATGGATCCAAGCGCTCCCCTCACTTCCACCGAAGGTGGTTCACCCTACAATGTTGCACGGACGATGCGTCTGGTTAGCATCCATGGAAGTCACCTCCACTTTCGTGATTCCCGTAGCATGAACCCGGGCGCTTCCTTCACTCCCACCAATGACGTTTTGCCCTACACTCTTTTACAAATGATCCTCTTGATAGCTTCCATGGAAGTCACCTCCGCTTTCATGATTTTCGTATACCGAACCCATGCGCTCCTCTCACATCCACCAATGACTTTATTCCCCACACTATTGGACGAATGATGAAAATTGTCAGCTTCCATGGAAGTCACCTCCACTTCCAAGAGTTCCGTAGCATTAACCCACGCGCTTCCCTCACTTCCACGAATGTTGTTTCACCCTACAATCTTGCACGGACGATGCGTCCGGTCAGCATCCATGGAAGTCACCTCCAATTCAATTTTCCCGTAGCATGATCGGGGGCGCTCCCCTCACTTCTACGAACGGCGTTTTGCCCCACTCTATTAAACGAATGATAAACTTGTCAGCTTCCATGGAAGTCACCTCCACTTCCATGACTTCGGTAGCACGAACCCAAGTGCTCCCCTCACATCCACCAATAGCGTTTCACCCTACACTAATTGACAAATGACGATCTCGACAGCTTCCATGGAAGTAACCTCCACGATCATCGTTTCCTTGAAATGAACCCCAGCATTCCCCTCACTTAAACTAATGGCGTTTTTCCCTACACCTTTCGACAAGTAATGGATCTCGTCAGCTTCCATGGAAGTCACCTCCGCTTGCATGACTTCGGTAGCAGCAACCCAAGTGCTCCCCTCGCTTCCACATATGGCATTTCACCCTACATTATTGGACGAATGATCCATCTCGTCAGCTTCCACGGAAGTCAACGATACCGCCATGACATCGGTAGCATGAACCCAAGCGCTCCCATCACTTCCATTCATTGCTTTTTACCCCACACTATTGAACGAATGATGCATCTCGTCAGCTTCCATGGAAGTCACCTCCACTTCCATCACTTCGGTAGCAAGAACCCAAGCGCTCCCCTTACTTCCACCAATAGCGTTTCACCCTGCACTATTGACAAATGATCCTCTCGACAGCTTCCATAGAGGTCACCTCCATGTTCATAATTTCCATAAAATGAACCCAACCATTCCCCTCACTTCCACCAACGGCGTTTCACCCTACACTTGTGGACAAATAATGGATCTCGTCACTGCCACGGAAGTCACCTCCACTTCCATGACGTCGGTAGCAGCAACTCAAGTGCTCCCCTCACTTGCGCAAATGGCATTTCACCCTACACTATTGGACAAGTATTGAATCTGGTCAGCTTCCATGGAAGTCTACGATACGTCCATGACCTCCGTAGAAGCAACTTAGGCGCTTCCCTTACTTCCAACAATGGTGTTTCACCCTGCACTCTTTATCGAATGATCCATCTCGTCAGCATCCATGCAAGTCAACGTTACCGCCATGACTTCCGTAGCATGAACCCAAGCGCTTCCCTCACTTCAAGAATGGCGTTTCACCCTACACTATTGGACAAATGATGCATCTCGTCAGCTTCCATGGAAGTCACCTCCACTTTCATGATTTCCGTAGACTGAACCCAGGCGCTCTTCTCGCTTGCACCAATGTCTTTGTACTCCACACTATCGGACGAATGAAAAAATCGTCAGCTTCCATGGAAGTCACCTCCACTTTCATGATTCGCGTAGACTGAACCCAGGCGCTCCCCTCACTTCCACCAATGGCTTTT